CAACCATTACTGTATCAATTTTTGGCCTTGAATTTTTGTACATGACCTTATAAGGATATAATAAAAAAAATTTGCTAAAAAAAAAATTTTTATTAGTTGATTTAAAAATGGTACTTTTGGCCGGCTAAATCAGCGTTTGGTCCCACTGTGCGGCCTGCATAATTTATCAAAGTATATTATCGTCTATGGTGATTAAAAAATGTTTCATTTTAATTATATGATTTTTCTTTGTAATTTAATATAATACTTATTTATATAATTAGTTCACTGAGAGCTAAGAATTTGTATTGATTGACATAAAAAAAAAACTCACAGCATATTAAGACCAACTAAGTTCAAATCTTAGCATTGAAACTAAAAATTTACTCAATTGAGAGTATTATAAAATACTATTATAATTAGGAAAATGCGTTGTTAAATTCTGGTGAAACCCAAAATAATTTTTTAGGAATGATTTATACAGAATCATGTTGTCAAACATTTTGGAATACTATAGACAGATAGTTGACCAGACTTATATAGTCAAGAAATTAATAAATAACTAATTAAAATTATTTAATTTTGTAGTTGGAATAACATATCAAACCTAATTGGAAAATATATATTTTAAAAACTGATTTTTATTCTCAAAAAGAATTAAGAAAACAGGGCAAAAAAGTCATTTCGACGGGCGGGGTTCAACCTTGTACTTCAAGCGTAAAAAAAGGTAGTACTGTTGACGCGGTTTTTGTACATGTGTTGGTAAATGAAAAAAATCATTTAAGCTATATCAGAATTCCAAAGTAGTTTTTCGTGACATAAGAGAAACCAAAAATTAATATTATACTCCAAGTCAGTTAGATTCTTATAATTTTTATGAAAATCAATGGTCTGTTCTTCAAAGGTATTTTAAAATACATAATATGTATAATGTATAATTAAAAAGTGAATTTTAATACAATATAGAATGNTAATATGTATAATGTATAATTAAAAAGTGAATTTTAATACAATATAGAATGAATTTAATTACGACAGCCATTTGCATATAGAAGATAAGCCGTGGAAACAATTCTTTTTTTTTAAATTAAAGTATATTACATAGCCTTTAACTTAATATATATATAAAAGTGTCAGTATTTTGGAAAAATTTTAAAAGTTAAGTTGAAAAAGTTAATTTTTTGTGAAAAATCTGCCATTTTAAAACTCTGTGTGTAGGTAAAGGATCAAATTAAAAAAATATATAAAGGCTGGCCCACCACTCACTGACAACTTAAATAACTTTTGATCCAGTTAATATTTTTAGCTGATTTTTTTTTTAAATAATAGTTATACGTTAGGTCTATAGCTATATCTCAATAATTAATTTTTTACATTTTATTAAAAATGTTAATTATTTTTAAATTTTAAATAAAATGTAAAAAAAAAATCTAAGATAGCTATTTTGTAGAGTAGAATTTAAGAAAAATTTTAGTAACAAAATATCTTATTAATATTCAATAGTAAATATTCTGTAGCGTTTTGAAGTTTGTGAAAATTTGAATTTTCATGTATTATTTTACGGTATTAAACATTGAAATACGTATTGAGAAAAGGACAGATGAATGAGAGTGATAAGTAATAATTGCCTTATCTAATTTCTTATCAAGGTATTAATGGCAAGTTTGTAATGTATACACAGTAATCATGAAAAGATAGCGTTTTCTTCTGTCCTTTTCTCAATACGTATCTTAAATTATAGCTAATGTAATATACTTTAATTTGAAAAAAAAAATTTGACCTCTGGACTTGTCTTCATGGTGAAAACGGCTACCGAATGCTATTTTTGTGTGAAAATTCTCGATTTTATAATTTATATTTTTTACTTTAAAGTGCTATAACTTTTTGAAAAATTTATGGATCAACACAGTTTTTTTATGAGATATAATATTTTTATATAATTTTATGTAATTAGAAACGTTTCGATGCAAAATTGTAGATTGTGTCTAATTCTAAGAAATTGGTTGTAGATAATTACAAAAGCAACATCAACATTTTTTAACTGAAAAAACCAATAAAAAAAAAGTTGTTAAAAAGATCTACTTAATTGAGTGTATTATAAATTTGTTTATAATTGTAAGAATCCATTGTTAATTGAGATGAAACTAACAAATCATTTTTTTTTTTAGATTTATGATAGAAATCATTTCCTAGTAACTTTTGATGTTTTAAAAGATTCTATATTGAAATATTCAGAACTTAAATATTTTTAATGATTTACTTTAACTAAAAAAAACAATAAAAATATTTTTAAAAAGAAATTATACAATTGAGTGTTTTATATATTTTGATTATAATTATAAAAATTCATTGTTCAAATCAAGTGAAAATAAAAAACAATTTTTTTTAGACATTTTTTATATAACAATATGCTACCAAAAAATTTGAAATATTATAAACTGTTAGTACCACACAAATAAAGTTAAAATATTAATATAGTACAAAGTAAAATTATTTACTTTTGTAGTTGAATACTTTTATCATATCAAATCTAATTCGACAAAAAATACTTTAAAATTATTAGAAATTAATGATTTTTATTTTTAGTATGGATAAAGCTCGTTAAGCTACATCTTATTTAATTAAGAAATTTGTTTCAATTTTTGAGGGAAATATCTTCAAAAAAATACAAATTTTAATAATTTGACGTATTGTTAAAAAAAGTACGTTAAGTGAGGTTTTGAACAATAAATCGCAGCCACAAAAAAACACATAGTAATATAATATTAATACGAATAAGACATTTCTTCTCATGAAGGGAAACTACAATGATGGGATCCTTGATATTTTTTGAAGNTTAAAAAAAGTACGTTAAGTGAGGGTTTGAATAATAAATCGCAGCTACAAAAAACACATAGTAAAATAATATTAACACGAATAAGACATTTCTTCTCATGAAGGGAAACTACAATGATGGGATCCTTGATATTTTTTGAAGTTAAATAATCTAAATGAGATAAAAATCAAATGATTTGAACATTTTCTATAACTCAAAATAAAAATCCAAAATACTAATTGCCACAAGTAGTTTCGAAACTGGTACCCTAACTGTGAAAGACACAACTGATTTTAAATGGTTTTTATAGTCAGAGGAGAGTAGTATAGCGATCCCTTGCCTGATTTTGGGAGCTGGAGATCTTAATAATTTGTTAAATGTGATTAACTGGGCTTAATATAGAATCTATATATAGGCGTTACTTTACTAAAATAAGATTCTATTCCTTAGTTAACTGGTTATATTGTGTTTTAAAAAAGGGAACTCTGTTTTGGTGACCTTGTAAATTAATACATGTACAAATGAACACACCATATTATATGCTAACATTATAAGTTTTAAAATAATGACAAAATAATATAAAAAACCAAACAGAAAGATTATTTATATTTGTTTTATATTTGCATCATTTTAATCATCTATATTAATATTTTAATAGCATGTATCTTATAAAATAATATATATTTAGGAAATTAATTATCATTAGGTTTATCTATAACAATTTTCATTCTTCATTCCAGCGGCTAAAGTAAAATGATTTCCTATAGAAGAAAAGGTGTAGGGACAAATTTCTTTTTTAATTTTATAGTACATGACATAAGCTTTAATTTATATATATGATTAAAAGACGCAGTATTTCTAGAACCTTTTTAAAAATAAGTTTAATAAATCAGTTTTTATAAAAAAGTTGCTATTTTATCCCCCCCATGAGCAGGTAAAATGTCAGATTTTCAAAAAAATTATATCAAAAGGAAAATATTTAAGGTTTTAATATAAAAAATTTAGGTTGATATGTTAATTTTTGAAAAAGTTATGGTTGTTTTAAAAAATGAAAATAATGACAAAATTTACCGATTTTAAAAATTCGTAATTTTTTTGGAAATTTTTCCCATTTACGGCGAATTTTTTTTTCAAATTTTAAGTGTAATGTCTTTAAATAGACACGATTTGTGATCTTTTGACGAATCGTTAATAAACACAACAAAATATAACAAACACATTGTGGTAAAATTAATACCTTCTTAGCTTTCGATTCGAAGTNTTAAGTGTAATGTCTTTAAATAGACACGATTTGTGATCTTTTGACGAATCGTTAATAAACACAACAAAATATAATAAACACATTGTGGTAAAATTAATACCTTCTTAGCTTTCGATTCGAAGCTAAAATATGAAAGGGATGAAATTGGGTAAAATGATAAAATAATATAGATAAAAAAAGAGATTTTAGAAAGGCGAGTAAACGAACGATGAACTTATAAGGACAACGGTAAAATAAATAAAGTAAACATAAACGTTTATGTTAAATAGTAGATTGATCTCGGGAATTAAACAATATTGAATACATAATGTGAATTATCCCTGCAAAGTTCTATTATTTATCTTAATGGTTTATGACGCAATAGATTGGTTTGTGGTTTGAAAAACGAATAAAACTTGCATTTACCTTATATCCTATGTCCTATGTCCTATAATTAAAATATCCCTAAATAATCAAACGCTGATTCTATATTTCACACGAAGAGTTGTAAAGTTAGTTCTAACTATCGATTATTACGTGTAAAAGATACTAATCACTTTATATTTTTACTATAAATGTAACTTTAATAATGTACCTTTATTTCATTTTTGTTGAATAAATATATTTTTGAACGAGTAAATTTTATTGAGAGATCGACACCAATATATTTTAACGCTTCCTTTAGTCTGGACAAAATAAGATTAAAAAATATTTATTTCTATGTAAAAATTGTATTAAAGTAGTTTTGTAGTGCCCCAATGTGTCCCAACGTTGACGCCTTCAAAGGGCTTGGTACAAAATCATCAAGACAAAAGTTAAACTCTAAAAATTCTATGTGTTATCTACCGGCGCAATGTTGTTTAAGACAAAGAAATTCAGATTTAAGACTATTTACTTAGAATGAAAAGCTCACAATGAATATTTACCGTTAAATGAATATTTAAATTTAGATTGGGCTTATTATAAAAATAAAATAATTTTAAAACGATTAAGGTTTAAGATATTAATGGACATTTATTTTCGTGATAAGAAAAATAAAATATTATTATTTAATGAACACTAAAACATTCACCAAAACAAAATTCATTTAAAAATTATTATAAATTCTGTTTGGTTTGAAAATAACTGATTTTAAATGATTTTTATAGTCAGAATATAGAATCTATATAGGTATATTTTATCCTTATTGAACTGGTTATATTGTGTTTTAAAAAAGGGAACTCTATTTTGGTGACCTCGTAAATTAATACTATGTGACATACATGTACAAATGACAACACCATATTATATGCAAACATTATAAGTTTTAAAATAATGACAAAATAATATAAAAAACCAAACAGAAAGATTATTTATATTTGTTTTATATTTGCGTCATTTTAATCATCCATATTAATATTTTAATAGCATGTATCATATAAAATAATATATTTTTATGAAATTAATCATCATCAGATAAAACTATAACAATTTTCTTTCTTCTTTCAAGAGGACGGTTAAATAAACGCAATGCATCCTTGACACGAATTTTTTCACCTGTAAATCAGTTTAAAAAATCTATACATTTACATTTAATGACATTAGACGATAGGATATGAAAAATAACGGCTTGTATAACATAATGATTCATACATTTTTCAAAAAGTTAAAGCATTATAAATTTCAAAATTAAAAAAGAATTTTTTTACAAAAATCGTATTTTTTTTTATTAACTTAAATGTCTGTTTTTACCTCGAAGACAAAATATTATCCGAAGTTTTTTTTTTTAATATAATAGTATGTTACATAATCTTTAATTTAAGATATATATATAAAAGTGTCAGTTTCCTGGAAACTTTCAAAAATTAAGTTAAAAAGTTCGACTTTCTATATGCATATTATAATATAAACCTCTATATATATAAATAAATGGTGCAATTTAAAAAAAAGTATGTCGAATGAAAAATGTATAGCATTAGCTTCAATTTAAGATATATATATATAAGTGTCAGTATTTCCGGAACACTTTCAAATGTTAAGATAATTTTTTGTGAAAAAGTTTTCATTTTGAATCCCCCCTGTGGGCTGTTAAAGGGTCAAATTTATAAAAAAAAATATACCAAATACTAGGTAAATACCATATGTATCTATAGAAAAAAAATTATATTGATTTGGCCATTATTAATAAATTTATGGCAGTTTTAAGTAAAAAAATTGAAAAAATTAGCGATTTTTAAATTTTTATTTTTTTTCGAGATTTCGATTATCGTTGAAAAAAATCGGTTAGGTGAGAGCTGAGAAAAAGTAGTAACAGACACATACAAAAAAAAACACATCACAGTAAAACTAATACCTTCTCAGCTTTACATCGAAGCTAAAAAGTACGTTTTTATGTTACCATTTTAAGTTACATACAAACAATTTTATTTTAAAAAAGTGATTTCTTCAATTGTAGTTAATTCAATTCTTATAGTGCATAAGTGAGCATAATTGGTTATATAATTTTTAAAATATAATTAATTAGGTTTTTCTAATGAATTTTTTATTATTTACGTTCAAAATCATTGATAGCTTGAATAAGTTCATCACTCAATTCACCTCCGAGGAAAGATTCAAAAAACATTTTCACTTGTTGCTTATTTTTGGAATTTCCATAATCCAATAAAATTCTAGCTATGTCTGCGTATGATATGTCCTGAAACATTTTCTTAATTTCATTAAAATCACAAGATAGATTTGAATATTTTAAATAAATCTAATTTTAGATATCATTTAACTTCACGTAAATTATATATGTATCAAATAATGGGTACAACATAACCAATCTTTTGTATTTTACGTTAACATAATTTTTTGCCACAACTGGTTTTATTCGATAAATTCAAATCTACACAATCTACAATTGTACGAACAAAATTGTTTGTATTTTATTTTTCTATCATATTATTATTTTTATTAGACATATTAAATAAAAATACTTTTATTTAGAGTATATACAGAGTGATCGAAATCTGTTAAGACACTTATTGTCTCAGAAAATAACAAAAATATCGTTTGCACTGCCACCGATGTTATGAAACGTAATAAATGACAATATTTGTTCTGGAAGTCAACATTTTTAAAATATTATAAAACGTAAACTGTTGTTCGGATAAAAAAAATTATAAAAACAAAATTGTTTGTAATTTTTTTTTCTATCGTATTATCAAATCAAAAATATTGGTTCCCCTTTAAAAAAATTATAAATAAACATTTTTATCCTTGAAGGGATAAAAAAAAAAATTATTTTACTTCATATTGCTGTAGATTTTTACAATAATTTTAAATAATCAATAGTTCCTGAGAAAATAAGTGTCTTACCAGATTTCGATCACTCTGTATAACTCTTTAAATATAAATCACAATAAAATAATTTTTAAACTACTTATGGAAACTAATTTCTTACTACTACTAATATTAAAAAGATTTAAATATATTTATAAATAGCTCAAAAATAACAACATTTTACTTTACACCTTTTAATAAATCTCATTCATGTAAACAGTATGATTCTTAAAAAACACTACCCCCTATTATTATTAATATTTTATTTATTACAAAAAAGAGATGGAGGAATGTTATTGAACACAATATAAGGACGGCTGATGTGTGCCTGATAATGTGGGAGATCATGTCAAGTTTAAGTTCAGGATAAGGGTGTCCGACCCCAAGTAGATTGGATATAATCGAGGAAAAAGAAGAAGAAGAATTACCGTAAATTCATGTACATAGACGTGCAAACATTTAACAAGATCTTCCGCATCTTTTCTGCCAGTACTTCTAATAATCTGAAAATAACATTATTTAACTTTACTATTTTCTAATAATACTTATAAATGTAAAAAGTGTGATTTTTTAAAAAAGGTATCTCTGATATTTCCATTTTACTTTATTTATTCCTATAAATTATTATAAATACATATTCAATATAACCAAAAAATTTATTTTTGATATAACTGTAAACATTTTGATACGTGATGTATCTGAGCAATCCTATCGTATCTTTAAATATTAAAATTAGACATAGTGATGATNGTGTCCGACCCCAAGTAGATTGGATATAATCGAGGAAAAAGAAGAAGAAGAATTACCGTAAATTCATATACATAGACTTGCAAACATTTAACAAGATCTTCCGCATCTTTTCTGCCAGTACTTTTAATCATCTGAAAATAGCATTATTTAACTTTAGTACCTTCTAATAGAACTTATAAATGTAAAAAAATGTGATTTTTTAAAATAGGTATCCCTGATATTTCCATTTTACTTTATTTATTCCTATAAATTATTATATATACATATTCAATATAACCAAAAAATTTATTTTTGATATAACTGTAAACATTTTGATACGTGATATATCTGAGCAATCCTATCGTATCTTTAAATATTAAAATTAGACATAGTGATGATTATAGCCACACTAAAAGTGTATGTAGTTTTAGTTAATAAATAATTACATTTGCATTTCTTTCGAATTCAGCATTTGCTGCTAGTAATGCTGCTTCTAATTCTGCTGCTGCTGCTGGTTCTAATTTTGCTGCTGCGGCAAATTCTGCTACTGCTTTTGCTGCTGCTGCTGGTTCTAATTTTGGTGCTGCGACAAAGTCTGCTACTGCTTTTGCTACTGCTGCTGGTTCTAATTTTGGTGCTGCGACAAATTCTGCTACTGCTTTTGCTACTGCTGCATTGTGTCTAGCTTCAAAAAGTTTTGGTGTAAAACAGAAAACTGAAAATATAAAAATAATTATTTTTGCATTCATTTTATAGAAATGTTCTATCATATAATAATAAGATGACAGTAGTATGGTAAAAAATGTTGTACTACCATCTTTTATCTGAAATTTTAGGCATATAACTCGCGTTTTAAAAATATATTTTTAATTTACTAGTCATGGTTTGTTATTACAGTTGTTTTTGTGAACTACGTTTTAGAAAAAAAATGCAAGATATGTAAAAAAATGATTATTAAATTTAATCGATTTGAGTTGAGTCAAGCTAGTTGATAAAATATAATGATTTTTAATATTATATGATAATAAAATCAATCGAAGACTTATTGGGATTAGAGCCATTATTAATTAAATCATATTAGTTATATTCGTTGTTATGCAGTTAAACAATTGGACTTTTATTTGCAGCGGAATCAATGGAATATCACTAATATTAATTTTTTTTTTTGCTTCCTTAAAGTTAATACAATTAATTTTGCATTTAAAAATATATTAAAGTGATGCTTAAACTTGTTAAATTAAGTTAGGCATTTTTGTTTATTTGTAATTATCATTTTGATTTGTTCACCAAAATGTTTCAAGACATTCCTAGTGATTCAAGATTATTATCATTTTTTTATTGACTACACAATAGAAAAAATAAAAGAAATTATTTTATTTTAACTTAAAAACTAAGTTGAATGGGATTCGGCAAATGATTAATATGTGGACAGGTTAATTTGAAAATGGACATATAAACCTCAAAGTTTACTTTCTAGGCCATCCTTATAAAAAATGCATGTAAAAAAAATTATACATTATCTTTAAAAAATGATAACGTATGTATATGATAATCACACATTTTAAAAATTAAAATTATATTGGTCGTATCGGAGTATATTATTGTATGACTCTGACGTTTTTCCCTTACTACATTTCCTTATACCTACAAGGGGCGGTCACATTGATGGGGTCACCGATTTTCATAAAATTTATATAAATTTAATCTATATTTGAATTTTTTACCAATGCCCCCCCTAAGTCGAGAAAATTGACTTGGAAAATTTTTAATTAGCTTAAATAGAGTCATTTTTCTTCCTCAGACAATGACATGTTATGGTCGAATAGAGAATACGTGATCCTATGACCTATACTGTTACGGGATCAATTTCCGTCAGGTAGTGGAGTTAAATATATTTTTCTTAATTTTTTCACGATTTTCTCTTTGAATTATTAATTATACCTAACATAAATAGTTTATAATACGGTAAAGTTTTATCTACATTGAAAACACTTTTGATGGTACAAATTATCGATTTTTCAGTGATAAAATTAGAATAAAATAAAATAACATTTAGTCAGTCCAACATAAGCGATGGACAGACGTACATATGACTGGTGAAACAGCCACCGCACAAGTTGTCCGGTTGGTATCAAACACTTTATTCTTTAGGCCTTCTTCATCTCTAACTACTTTATTTCCTTTCACCTGTTATATCAACGTACTCCAAAATGAAACAATCCGCTTAATTTTTGTTCAGTAGTTTTCATACTTTTTGACAAAATTGTGCACTAGCTATCGACCTGACGCAACCTCATTAGTCAAATCTTATGATTGGCAGAGGGGCCGTGGAAGTATTTTTTCCTGTGGAAAGGGGATATAATTAATTACTTAGTAAGATTTTTTTACCTTTGATGTGAAGTTAAGAAGGTATTAATTTTACTATAATGTGTTATTATTATTTTTTTTTTTTTGTATCTCTAACAACTTAATCTCTATTCTCCACTCGACCGATTTTGATGAACAATACGTCAAAAGATCACAAATTGTATATATATAATAACCGAAGACATTTCCCTAAAAATTGAAAAATATTTTCTTAGTCACCGTAAATGAGGGAAACCTTCAAAAAAATTACAAATTTATAAATCGCTAATTTTCGAAATTTATTCAATTTTTTTTTCTTAAAACTGCCATAACCTTTTCAAAAATGAACAAATCAATATATTTTTTTTTTATAGATCTTTGATGTCTTTACCAATTAATTGGTATATTTTTTTCATAAATTTAACCTTTTACCTGCCCACGGGGGGGGGATGTAAAATAACAACTATTTCACAAAAAATACCGTATGCTATTTTTGTGTTAAAATTCTCGATTTTATAATTAACATTTTTAACTTTAAAATGTTATATCTTTTTGAAATATGTATGGATCAATACAATTTTTCTATGAGAAGTAGTTTTTATATACGTATTTCATTTGACATATTGTTTTTTTAAATCGGACCATTTCATTTAATACATGGGGGGTTCAAAACATAAACATTTATATAGAAAGTAGAACTTTTTCAACTTAATTTTTGAAAATGTCCTGTAAAGACTGACTCTTTTAGATATATCTTAAATTAAAGTTAATGTAATATACTTTATCATGAAAAAAAAATTTCGGACTTTATTTTGTCTTCGTGGTGAAAACAAATATCAAAGTTAATAAAAAAAAACACGATTTTTCTAACAAAATTCTTTTTTTCTTACTTTATATTGCTATAACTTATTGAAAACTGTATTGCACAATACAATATNAATTCTTTTTTTCTTACTTTATATTGCTATAACTTATTGAAAACTGTATTGCACAATACAATATTTTTATGAGAAATAATATTTATATCCCTCTTTCATTCGAAATAATTATCCAAACATTTGCATCAAAGCATTTTTTACGATAGTGATTTCAATCACTGTCAGATATCATTATACTTGACCCAACTATTGCACGTCATCACTGTGTCGTGAACCCCCTGTGCTGGGATTTTTTTTGTTGGTTTTTTTAGTCAATGTAAATCATTAAAATTAATTCAGTTCAAATTTCAATTGTAGAATCTATTTAAAAAATAAAAGTTAATAAGAAATGATTACTATTATTTATATTTAAGTTATCTATTAAGATAAATATGCAAAAAAAATATTTAGTTTTTCTGATAAATTTACTATAAATAGTAATTATAAAATTTCCAAACTGCATATTAATCTTAATGATACAATTTTTTTTATTCTCATAAAATTTTCTATTTATTGATGTTAATTTCAAACTTACAAGTTGAGCTAAAAGTTATGGTAATAAATAAATTTTTTTTTTTTATTGTAAACTTTCACAAAAAATGTACATTTTTCTTTATTTTAATGTCCATTTTCACTACGAATAAAAAAATTTTATATCAATATAACTAAGTTTTTATACTATAATAAACTAAGTTTTTGAATCGTGAATATTAACACAAAATAGAATGAATTTAATTACGACAGCCATTTGCACATAGAAGATAAGCCGTGGAAACAATTATTTTTTTTTTAAATTAAAGTATATTAAATAGCCTGTAACTTAATATATATATATAAAAGTGTCAATATTTTGGAAAAATTTTAAAAGTTAAGTTGAAAAAGTTAATTTTTTGTGGAAAATCTGCCATTTTAAAACTCTGTAAGTAGGTAAAGGATCAAATTAAAATAATATATATACCAAGTTACAGATAACTATACTTAATGTATCTATGAGGAACAATTTGTTTTTATCCATATAGTTTTAAAAAATGATATGGCAGTTTTAATTGTAAAAGTTTTAAAAATATCGAAAATTACCAATGAAAGTTGGAAAACAATAGTGATAGACACAAAAAAAAAGTAATATTGGTACATTATCTGCTTAGCTCGAAGCTAATAAAAGAAAAAAAGTTAACTACAATAAAATAAAACTCAGTACAGTGGGGTCATGGCACAGTGGAAACGAGGCATATTTGGGTCCAGTATAGATTTAATAAAAAAAGTTTAAAAAAATCGAAAATTACCAATGAATTTGCCAGGTACGGGGGATCAGTAAACAAGGAGTGACCTAAGTCGGTCCACGGTCAAAGTGTCACAAACCGAACACCAGCGCCGGATAACTATACTTAATGTAATTAGAAACGTTTCGATGCAAAATTGTAGATTGTGTCTAATTCTAAGAAATTGGTTGTAGATAATTACAAAAGCAACATCAACATTTTTTAACTGAAAAAACCAATAAAAAAAAAAGTTGTTAAAAAGATCTACTTAATTGAGTGTATTATAAATTTGATTATAATTGTAAGAATCCATTGTTAATTGAGATGAAACTAAAAATCATTTTTATATTAGATTTATGATATATGTAGCAACATGGTTTAAAAAAATTTGGAATGTTACAGACTGATAGTAGCACACACAAATAGAGTTAAACAATTAAAAATTATAAAGTATAATTATTTACTTTTGTAGTTTAATACTTTTATCTTATCAAATCTAATTCGACAATAAATACTTTAAAATTATTTGAAATTAATGATTTTAAATTTTTGTATAGATAAAGCTGGTTAAGCTACATTTTATTTAATTAAAGGATTTGTTTTCAATTTTTGAGGGAAATATCTTCAATTAAATACAAATTTTAATAATTTGACGTATTGTTAAAAAAAGTACGTTAAGTGAGGGTTTGAAAAATAAATCGCAGCCACAAAAACACATAGTAAAATAATATTAACACGAATTAGAAATTTCTTAAAGACACAAGTGTTACCGATCGTTAACTGTTCGTCGCTTTCGTCGATAATTAAAATTGGCAATATAAGTTAATTTCAATTTTAAAGTTACTTTTTCGACTTTAAAAAAGCAAACAAATTCAAATAAGTTTAACTTCTTATGCCTTATGAACTTTATTCTAAGTCAATTAAATTATATAATATTCATGAAAGTCAATGTATTCGCTTTGTAAGATATTTTAAAATACAAAACACAATATTTTAACACAAAAATAGCATATTTTTGAATACGATAGCCATTTTCACCAAGAAGAAAATCTATATTTCGAATTTTTTTTTTTTCATAGTAAAGTATATAATATAAGATTTAAATTAAGATTAANAGAAAATCTGTATTTCGAATTTTTTTTTTTTCATAGTAAAGTATATAATATAAGATTTAAATTAAGATTAAATAAAAGTGTCAATATTTCCGAAATATTTTCGAAAATTAATTTGAAAAAGCTTAACTTGTGTGCAAAAATTGCATTTTTTAGTCCCTCTGAGGAGTAAGAAGAGTTATGAGTCA